ACTGGCGGCGACCCCGCCGCCGGCGTTCAAAGTTGAACGCCCCCAGCGACCCAGAATCGATCGATGTTGAACGATCTGGCGTTTCGCAAACGGCCGATGATTCAAGGTTGAACGATCCCCGCGGTGTCAGGAACCAACGCCGGGGTCGGCACGACACAAATCTGCCGTAGGAGCTTCTTTCTTTGGATGCGCGGCCACTCCACCGAATCTGCTGCTGCCGCGCTCCCCCGTGGCAACGCACCTACCTCTTCCTCCGCTGCCGCGTCGTCGCCATCCTGCGCCCGCTCCTCCTCCTCATCCTCCTCCTCCTCCTCCTCCACCACCACCACCTCCTCCTCCTCCTCCTCCTGCTCCTCCTCCTCCTCCTCCTCCTGCTCCTCCTCCTCCCTCCTCCTCCTCCTCCTCCCCTGGGCCCCCCCCCCCTGGCGCACCTCCCCCTGGAGGTGTGGGCTTGCATTGGAAGCCGCCTGGTTTTGAAGGAGCCCTCTCCGAGTATACAGTCCAGCTTCTTCTGGTAGCCGGTTCGTCAGCCCAGACCGGGAATCCACGAGGATCTGCTTCGCTCTGCTCGTACTCCGCGCCGCCGCCCGACGCGGGCCGCCTCGCCTCGTCGGCGGACGCTCTTCCGCTTCGCCGCCGACCTGTTTTGCGCCCTCCCCCGCAGGCGCGCCGCCCAGCGCCCAGGCGGGGATCAGGCCTTCCTCGTACGCTCGTCTACTTATACTCATCCTCTGTATCTTCTGCCATCCCATCAAGTCTCAGTCACGCGCAGAGGGGGGTAGGGGGAGGGGGGAAGCCTTCTTAGAAACACCCTGCTTCTAAGACGCCTTCCCCCGTCCCTCTACCCCCTGGTGCCCGCCCCAAAAAGTTTGCGTCGTTTCCTGGTCGCAGGATGTGCAGGTGAGCCCGACTCCGCCTCTGGGGCCCGAGGGAACTGAAGACAGGCTCCGTCCGCTTTCTCTTCTTCTGAAGAGGGGGGAGGGAGTAAATGAAGGGGATGAATAGGATGATGCGAACGAATAGGAGGGGAGGGATGTGAGCGGTGGACGGGGGGAGGAGGGGGCGGAAGAAGGAGGAGGGAGACAGCAGAAGGACGTGGAGGATGATGTTGTGGATTATTTCCTGCAGAGCGGGAAGAGACATCATGTGTCCCGCCCTCCCAATTCTGACTTTCCCCCTTGGGAGCACGAGCATCAGCAGCATGCGAAACGGATGGCGCCTTCAGAACAGCGTGGGCACCTGATGACTACTGAACCGGAGCCTCTCCTAGAAGCGCTGCCCAAGACGCTCTGCGACTGAGTTCGTAGATTGCGGGAGCGTCGCGAGCACACGGCAGATCCCTGAACAGCATTGGGGCCGCCTCCTCCTCCTCCTCCTCCTCCTCCTCCTCCTCCTCCTCCTCCTTCTCCTCCTCCCCCTCATCCCCCTTCCCGTAGCCATTTTGGCTCAAGTTCGAAACCTTGCCGCGAGGCTTTGAGCTTGTCCGCAGCCGTGCGGCAGGCTCGGGTGATTTTGGCGTGTGCATTTCCTGGTGTGCTGCCCTGCCACCAGGCCTGCTCTTCCGAGCATTTCATATTTTGTGAGTTCCTGCTGGAGCACCAGCCTTCGCCCTGGAGTATCCCTGCCATGCCTTGGAAATATGCTCCATGGACCCGTCGGCGCCCTGGTCATGATAATTGGTGTAGCTATAGTGTATGCTCGAAGTGCGGGCATTGGGAGTTCGACCACCATGGCCATGTCACGTGTTCTAAGTGCAAAGGTACGTACCTCGCGAAGGACGGCGCGAAGGATCAAGATCCTATTGCTGCTGGTGTGCGTTGGAAGCGCCGCGCTACTAGGCTGACGCCCCCTCCCTTGAAGATGAACTTGAGAGGTTGGCGGGACTTTTTCCTGATCGTGCCCATGTAGTACGAGGTGTTCGGGAACGTGCACCACCCCCTGCTGAAGCCGAGGTACCTCTACCATTGTCCGACAACGACCTGGAGAAGAAGGTCGCCAAGAAGAAAACGGCGTTGGCTCTCGCAGTGGAACGAGAGTCAAAAGCTGAGCGAGTTGCATTGTACGACGTTGAGCAGAAGCTTGCAAGTGTTGCTCGTCACAAGGAGGCTTTGGCCAAGGCACAAGATGCCCACGCCGAGTCGGCGTTTTCATTGGAGAAGGCAGATGCTGCCCACCGTACCGCGTACGCCGAGATGGACTCTTTCGATCCACAGGTTTACCGTCTGCAGATCGTGGCTGAGGAACGTGCTGAAAGGGAGCGTTTGGAACGGGAACGTGGGCAGGCAGCTGCGGCGGCAGCCTGCCCCTCCGTCCACCCCAAGCACAGCACGGACGGGCGCCCAGCAAAGACCGCCGCCAACGGTGGCACTGGGCCCATGGATGTCGACGCTGAACGCCCTGCTCCAGCTCAAGGTGCCGCTGGGCCTGCTGCAGCCCCTCAGCCGCCTGATCTTATGTCTTTCAGCGATGACGACTTACGTAAATTGCGCGATGCACACAACCAGAGGTTCGAGTATTGGATACAGATCAAGTCTTTCAAGTCGCATAATGAGGAAGATAATTTGTTTGACGCTCCCAGCGACGTCGGTAACGACGAGTCATACCGTGATGAACTTGACGCACTCAAGAAGAGGAGCATCGAGGTGGCCTCGTCAGCTGGCGAGCTCGAGAGGTTGGAAGAACTCATGCAGAAGCGATATCAGATCAAGGCCGCCAAACGATTGCGCACTGTTCGAGATGGAGCAGCTGCCTCGTTCGACTGTGCGCTGCATGCTATGCTCCCAGTTCATGCGCCAACTGCTGCCCCCTGTCCTACTGAAGAAGGTGGAGGAGGTGGAGGACAACGGCGTCTTCAACAACAAGGGCGCGCTGCAGGCTACAGGGTAGAGGAAGCTGGCCGCTTCCAGTGACCTGCTGTTCTGCAATATCACGTCTTGGAATCAGGTTACGCTCGATTTCTCGCAGCAGATCAGGCCAGTGAGCGACGCCTTTTTCGTCGCCGAACATCATGTGATCAAGGATCTTGCCCGTGCGAAAAGGAACGCTGCACTGGTTGGCTGGAGGCCGCATCTGCGCCCTGCGCCCCCATCCCCTGGAGGAGGCACCGCTGGAGGAGTTGGAGCCCTGGCTTCCAAAGGTTTGAGTTTTAGGCGCTTTCTGGCTTCCGACACCCTGGATGTAGGCAGTGGTCTCAATTGGTTTTCCTTGGAACTAAAAACCAAGCAATGTGTTATAGCTGTAGGAGTGATTTATCTGATTGCTGACCTGGGTTTTTCTGGGGAAAACATCGAACGAATTCGCGCTGTTTCGGAGTTCCTCGGGACCCCGGCCATGCCTTGGATCCTGGTTGGGGATTTCAGCATTCCTCCTGAAGGTATGCACCTCTCTGGTTTTCCCCAGCTTGCCCGAGCACGCATACTGGCACGCCTGTTACATGTACGCAGGGAAGGGGTACCCTCATTGATTACGCGATTGCCTCGGATGACATATCTGATTTTGCGAAGGTAGGCACCTATTCCCAGAGCCCGTTCAAGACGCATGTTTGTTCGGACATACGTATCGCGCACGAAGCATTGGAACAGTCCATGTGGAAGAGGTGTCGCCCTATCCCATTGCCTGAACGCCATGGGCCAGATTTACCTTGGAAGCAGCTGTTGATGCAACTTCCTGACGAGGGGCAGCCTGCGATCCCTGCCTACAGTTACCACGCCCTGCTACCGCATGTCCAGGACAACCTGAACACAGGCCTCACAGAGCTCTACCTTTTATGGTCTCGGGCTACGGAGGCAGTGTTCGAATCCAGGGCAGCTGCTTGCGAAGTCAGAGAGGGTCGGGCACTGCGTGGAGAGCGTCCTGTTTTTCGTTGTGCGTCGATTGGACGGAGAGGCCCTGAAGGCCAAAGTGTCCGCGAGCCTGCTCTCGCTTTCTGGGCTCATGTTCTCAAAAAAATGTGGGAATACCGTCTTTACCTGGCTCGTAAATCTCCTGCAATGGTCGCCAGCTTAGCCAGCGCCCTCCAAGGTTTAGCAGCCAAGAATGAGAAGCACCTTGGCCCCGAGGACACCTGTGGGCTTAGCTGGTGGCGAGCTTAGATGGCTGTTTTGCCGACTAAGGCTGAGTATCTGGATGTACTCACAGGTGCCATCTCTGCTGGCGTCAATGCTGCCTGGAAGGCAGCCAGGACCAACTCGCGCGCGAGAATGAAGGACTGGCTCCTGAGGGCGCTTCCAAAAGGGGCTAAGAAAGTGCACTCTTGGTTGAAACACGACATTGGTGAACCTCACCAGGTTTTGGTTGCCCCTGAAGGAGTGAGGCACTTGCCTGCTGATATGATGACCTACCGAGAATCCTTATGGCGCGGAGTTTGGGCCACCCCTGGATCCCGTGAAAAGTTGTTTGGGGCTTTAGATGCCCTCAAACCCCGTGCTTTGGAAGCGGTTTCTTTGCTTGAACCTTTGCACCCATGGATGTCCAACGGGCTGCTAGGTGTTTTGCTGCTACCACTGCTGCTGGGGTTGACTCTTGGGCCCCGCGGTCGTTGGTCGACCTGCCTGGGGGCGCTCTGTTGGGGTGCACTTACATCCTCAATCAGTGCGAGTCCTTGCTTGCCTGGCCTATGCAGGTCTACCTGAGTGTTATTGCCCGAATGTGATCGTCCAGTTCGTAAATGCCCCACCCTGTATAGGGTATACCGCGAAGCTAGGAACCAAGATTTGGACAGATGTAACCAGGATAGGCACAACTTTTGGGATACTGCGCGCTGCGGGCCGTTTTATTCCGCGAGCTGGGTCACGAGATAGCTCGCATCATGGGCCTCTGCTCCGTGGGTGCGCACTGGGACCTGGGAAGATGTTTTGATTCTGTCCAGCCGCATCGGCTGGTGGGTTTGGCAGTCAATATGGATTATCATATCCACCTCCTCTACCTCGGTATCCTCATTCATGAAGCCCCCCGTGCATTGGAAGTTGGAGGCGTTGTGTCCGATAGTATTGACCCTGGCTGTGGAATACTGGCAGGGTGTGTACAATCCATGTCATGGGTTAAGATTTATGATTATGACTTGCTGGATATTGCCCATATGCATTATACACCCGTGCAAGTTAAAGCATATGTTGATGTTATCACCAAATCTATTGTTGGACAACATGCCCAAGTGCTCGCATCTCTGGCCCCTGCTGTCATGCACCTTGCGCACCACTTGAATGATTTAGGATGTAGTATGTCAGGCAAGTCGGCTTTCGTTTGAAGCCATGGCGACCTAGGACGAGAGCTTGCGGCGCGTTTCAAGGCAGTTGGTCTGCCCATCAAACTGGAGCAGGCTGCTCGAGATCTGGGGGTCATGACTACGGCTGGAGTGACAAGACTCATTGCGAAGCTTATGCATCGCAGGAGCACTGCCTCAAAGAAGGCTACGAAAGTTGCGTCGGTGACCAAGATTGTTGGCAGTGCCCGAAGGCAGTGCCCGAAGGGGTCTTGGCTGTCGGCTCTTGGAGCCACCAAGTCCTTGGCCTCACTGTTGGCCAGATTCGGTCCATGAGGGCCCAGGCCGCTATGTGTTCTGGGGGGTGGTGCCCTGGGGCCTGTACTACCTCGGTTTTAGGACTTGTCAGCGCAGCCAACGATGACCCCCAGTTTAGGCTCATATACGAACAACTAGTTTGTTTTCATGACGTCGGGCAGGAATTGGACCACCAGAAGAGGATGGAAGTTTCTAGGTGTTGGGACACTATCGTGAACAAGTTCAGTAAAACCAAGCATCTGTGGCAATGTGTCCGTGGCCCACTCGCTGCTACTATTGCGGTGTTGATTGATTTGAATGCAATTCCCCCACAGCCCTGTCTACTGGCTCTTCCCAAATGGCGTTCACGTCCGCTTCACCGACGGAGCTTTCCAGCACAGCCTCTGGCACGTGCTAGTGGAAGTGTGCAACGACCTGTCGTGGAGCGGGGCTGCAAAACACGATGAAGGGTCAGGTTTAAGTGGAGGGGTCGATTTCACTGCTCCCAGGGCCCTTCTGAGGAAGCTTGAGAAGGAAGGCTCAGTTGAGGCTTCGGGAATCCTTCGCAATATTTTGACTGCTGGGTTTTGGACCGAAGAACGATTATGTTTGGCTGGTTTTGACTCTGCCACTGGAGGTCCCTGTCCCAGGCGCGGCCACGAGGACGAGAGTGCGACCCACCGCTTGTGGCGGCGCCCGCGCAACGATGAGATCCCTGACGGCGCGATCGCGAGATCGGATTGTGTAAGGTCTGAGGCCATCGCGCCCATTGACAACTGTGTTTGGCCCCGTGGGCCCCCGCTCCCTGAGATGAGTCTTGGGCACCTTCCTGAACCCCGGCACCTCACTTGGGAATGGGGCTCCTTAAGCGGGGGCACAAAGGTCTCAGGAGGCACTTGGGGGTTCGACGGTTCGGGAGGTAAATATTACAAAAATTGGCGTTTGCGTCGGTGCGGTTGGGCCATCGTCCACTTAGCGGCACGTTCCCCACTAATGTGCAGTCTGCTGGCCGAGCGGAGCTTTTTGCACTCATCCAGCTGGCGCGCAGAACAGTCGGACAAGTTCGTGCGCACTGCGACTGCATGCCAGTGGTCCGAGGGTCTCGGCGCCCCCTCCGTGCTAAAACTAAGTCGTCAATGCTCGATGTATGGTGCGAATGTCACGAGGTCCTGGGGTACCGAGGCGGCGCGATTCAAGTCCTTTGGACTGAAGGTCACCCCACTCAGGCTCAAGCTTTTTTTATGCGCATTGGTGAGTTTGAATCCTCTCTGAATCAATCTGCCGATTTCTTTGCGGGAGAAGCCGCGGAGGCTGGACAGGTGTCAGACGACCATGCCCGCGCTACGCTTGCGTGCGATGATGGGGCCTCCAAGGTTTTAGGCCGTCTGCTTGCGGTCCAGAGAGAAGCGGTGTCCACCTCCGACCGCGAATGTGTCAATCGTACTGCTCGCGTGCGTAGCTCGAGTCGCTCGCTAGACCAAAGGTTATGTAGGCTTCGGGATACAGGGCACCAGTGCACGGTTCGCACGGCTATTTTCAAATGTGTTCATTGTTTGTGCAATTTCAGTCGGAGAGGTGCCCTTTTCAGAGTTCTGGCCGTGCCCCTGCAAACCCCGAGCTGATATTCAACAGAGAATTCTTTACGCTTCGCGTATCCCCACCAGCCCATCTCACAACAGCAACTCTTGCGAAGCATGCCGAGAGTTGTGTTTTTCAGGCGTGTGTCCGCTTGGCCCCGCATATCTCCACTGTTACTCCTTCCTCCCGCCTCCTTGCACATCCTCCTTGTCGGGGGAGCGGGAGAAGGACGAGGCGGAGGAGGAGGGAGAGAAAGCGCTCCTCGTGGTTTGAGTCGTTTGGGGTTTCTCGTCCTGGTGTGAGTCGTTCGGGCCCTTCTTCCTGGTGTGAGTCGTTCGGGCTCTTCGTGGTGTGAGTCGTTCGGGCTCTTCGTCCTGGTGTGAGTCGTTCGGGCCCCTCCTCCTGGTGTGACTCGTTCGGGCTCCTCGTGGTGTGAGTCGTTCGGGGCCCGCGTCGTGGTGTGAGTCGTTCGGGCTCCTCGTGGTGTGAGTCGTTCGGGCGCCTCGTCCTGGTGTGAGTCGTTCGGGCCCCTCCTTGTGGTGTGAGTCGTTCGGGCTCTTCGTGGTGTGAGTCGTTCGGGCCCCTCGTCCTGGTGTGAGTCGTTCGGGCTCCTCGTTGGGCCTCTTGGGGGCCTCTTGGGGGCCTCTTGGGGCCTCTTGGGGGCCTCTTGGGGGCCTCTTGGGGGCCTCTTGGGGGCTCTTCTTGGGGGGGGCCTCTTGGGGGCCTCTTGGGGGCCTCTTGGAGGCCTCTTGGGAGAGTAGTAGTAGTAGCAGTAGTAGTAGTAGTAGTAGTAGTAGTAGTAGTAAGTAGTAGTAGTAGTAGTGTAGTAGTAGTAGTAGTATGTAGTAGTAGTAGTAGTAGTAGTAGTAGTAGTAGTAGTAGTAGTAGTAGTAGTAGTAGTAGTAGTAGTAGTAGTAGTAGTAGTAGTAGTCGTAGTAGTAGTAGTAGTAGTAGTAGTAGTTCAAGTAGCAGTAATCGTAGGAGACGAAGTAGTAGTAGATGTCTTGTGGAAGCCGTTCGGAGGCCTCTTGGGGCGTCTTCGGCGCCTCTGGGGGCCTCTTGGGGACCTCTTGGGGTTATCTTGGGGGCCTCATGGGGGCCTCGTGGTGCCTCCTGGGGACCTTCTTGGGGCCATCTGGTGGACCTCTGGGGGCCCTCTTGGGGGGCTTGTATGAGCGCTGCCCCTCCTCCTGGTGTGACTCGTTCGGGCTCCTCGTGGTGTGAGTCGCTAGAGGCCCGCGTCGTGGTGTGAGTCGTTCGGGCTCCTCGTGGTGTGAGTCGGTCGGGCGCCTCGTCCTGGCATGAGTCGTTCGGGCCCCTCCTTGTGGTGTGAGTCGTTCGGGCTCTTCGTGGTGTGAGTCGTTCGGGCCCCTCGTCCTGGGGTGAGTCGTTCGGGCTCCTCGTTGGGCCTCTTGGGGGCCTCTTGGGGGCCTCTTGGGGCCTCTTGGGGGCCTCTTGGGGAGCTCTTGGCGGCCTCTTGGGAGCCTATTGGGGGCTCTGGGGGCCTCGTGGGGGCCTCTTGGGAGCCTGTTGGGAGCCCCTGGGGGCCTGTTGGGGGCCTCTTGGGGGCCTCTTGGGGGCCTCTTGGGAGCCTCCTGGGGGCATCTTGGGGCCTCTTGGGGGCCTCTTGCGACCTCTTCAGAAGCGCATATGAGCGCTACCCCCTGAGAAAGACAACATGAGACCAAAACCTTCGTAAAATCAATGATTTTGAGAACAAGTCTGAGGAGCGCTGCCCCCTCAGAAGGCCAAAATGGGGCCGAAACCGTGGTAAATTTAATGATTTTGGCTTCACAGAAGAGGAGAGGGTTTTTTTGAGGTGCCCCCGTCGGGGCCAGAATCCTCGTGAGTGTCGTCGTTGTTTGGCCCTCCCAGGAGTCGAAAAAGACCCCCCTGAGAACACCCCGGAGTCCCTGTCCAGGCCCAGGGGGAGGGGGTATGGGGGAGGGGTAAACCCCTCCCCGAAGGGGAAGAAGGGGGGTTGAGGACAGAGAAAGCTCGCTAAACCACTCACGCCCAAAGGGCTGGTGGGATTCAGGCTCTTCCTCCCAGACAGCGGGCACCCGACCCGCACCGAAGGGAGCCGTCTCCTCCCCCTGATGACTTGGGGCCTCGGGAGGCGGGAGTGGGCGGGGGTCTGTATCATCCTGTGGCTGATCAATGTCATCTCACACACCGCCTGTCCTCCTACCGAGGAGTGTTATTTTGCACAACCTGCGGTTGCCATTGTGTAGAGAACCCGCGCCCCCTGAAAGAGGAGTGCAAGCCCCCCACCTGAGCGGGGAGAGATGTTCTAAGCAGGTTGAAGAGGGGACTCCCGCCGAAATCTGGTGGAAGTTTCCCTGATGTTTGAATGTTTCGTGATCTTAGGGTCTGGCACGGTGGCATTACGCCCCGACCGATGCCCTTCCCCTTCTCAGACTCGACTGCCCGAAGTTTTTGTCCCCTGCGTTGGAGCGGAAGGCGGCGGGTCCTTGATCGCTCTGCCCAGTTGTCTTAGGACGCATCTGGAGGGCCCGCCATGGGGACATTTGCTCGGTGGTGGAGTCAGGCCCACACCAGGGGCAAGCTAGGGGCCGTCCAGGCGTCCGCCCGTTCAGGGCTAGGCACACCTAGGGTTTTTTGGCTGTCGCCCTGGCGTCGCCTGTGATTTCAGATTTCAGGATATTACTTGATGTTTTCGGACTGTTTCCTGTTCAAATTAATGGTCTTGCCCGTGGCAGTTAAGTTCAAGCTGGGAGGGGAGAGACGGCCATCCCCCACGTCCTAGCACTTGCCCAGTGCATCAGCGCGTGTTAGTGTTATCTGTTTCCTTTCAAACGCGCACGGCCCGATGCGACTGACCCTGAGGGCAGGCATCCGTGTGCTTACCCCACATCTGGTGCGTGGCCTGCCACCGTCCAGGCGCTCCCTGCACCTGGGGTGGTAGGCCCCGCCGCCCTTGTGTGGGTGGTCGTATGCATTTGTTGTGATGAAAGAAGATGCGAGCCTTCTTTCCAGGCTTGCTTTGTCCGTGCCCCCCGCCCGCACCCCACCCGTAGCCCTTGTCGTGGGCTCCAGGGGGATCGCGGGGCGGGGACTGGGCACACGAATTTGAACATTTGTTTGATGAATGCATGAATTTGTGAATTTGTTTGCGTGCCCCGCCCAGCAGCAGGTCACCACGCGCAGAGGTAGAATAGATTGGAATACCCTCATCCCCCTTCTCCCTCCCCCTCCTTCTCCTCCGGTTCCCGGAACTGCGCAGGCCTCCGAGGCCTCGGGGATGCCCTCGCGCGAGGAGGTGGCGGGGCCGCACGAGGGTAGGCGGGGCCGGAAGGTGGCGGTGCTCGCCCGCCTCTCTCGCTCCCCGTTCCAGCTCGCTCGTCGTCATCGTCGTCGTCGTCGTGCAGGCGCGTGGAGCAGCGACGGGCCCCGCTTCCGTGCGGAGTCGGCGCAAACCGTCGGAGCATCCAAGGGTCCTGGGCCTCTCATGCTTCGGAAGGGCGCCGCTCCCCGTTCCAGCTCGCTCTCTCGCAGCCGCTGCGGTGCCTTCGCGATCCGTGCCGACGGGCTGGCGCGATGCCCTTCGAGGTGCCCAAACCCCTCGCGTTGTGAAACAATCGCGACGGGAGGTTTTTCACAATTTTCGGCTTCCGGGGGCCCTCCCTGGGCCACGGGACCGTCAAAAACAGATTCAGGATGAAAAGTCGGTCCCGAGGATGGGGTCCCGACCTCTGGGGATCGGCGCTGTGGAAAGAAGAAAAAAAAAAAAAAAAACAAAAAAAAAAAAAACGACGTCGGGGGTCTGGGTGTGGGGCGTTCCAGAGAGGGCCTCGCCTTCGAGGGTTTCGGAGGAGCTGCTGTTTCTTCATCGGCGGAAGGGTGGCGGAAGGCGGCGGAAGAAGAAGAAAACGAGGGCGGCCCCGCCGACGGAAGCTCGAAACGGCGGAAGGCGGCGGAGGTAGAAGGCTGGCCCCCAAGAGATGCCAGCGGTTTGGGATGCAGGGTGTCAGGGATCGGTCCTGTGTGCCGGAGCCAGCAGGGTCGCAAGGCGAACGCGATGAGGGTTGCCCGGCAGGGAAGGAACAAGGAGGCCGCGCCTCCTCGCCCTCGTCCCAGCGCCCCGCCCCACCCCTCGCCGACCCTGCGACGAGCCCGAGGCTGAAACTCTTCCGCGAGATCGGGGGCCTGACCGGCAAGGGCACTCTGAAGGCCTCGGCGCCGTCGGACCCTCCCTCCCTCCTGGATCCTCGTGGTGGTCGCCAGAGGCCATCAGAAGCCACGAGCCCTCGAACAGAAGAAGGGGCAGGTTTGTGGTGAAGGGCCGTGCCATCAGAAGGAGCCTCTCGTACAGAACAGATCGGCAGTGGGCGCCAAGCCGAGGCGCCGGGTCCATAGTTATGAGTTTTGTGAGAGTCGCTCGGCAAAGAGACGGCAAGCCTTGGCTTGGAGAGAGAGAGAGAGAGAGAGGAAAAAGAGAAAGAGAGAGAGAGAGAGAGAAAACAAAAAAAAGTGTATGATGTGGAGGGGATTCACCAAGCAGTGGGGAGAATGCCTCCCGACCAAGGGCCGAGCCCTCCGGAACATCACCAGCATCTAGTATGGGGGAGCTTTCTGCAGGCGAGCCCCAGGCAAGGACACCCTCCCCGATTTCCCCCCCCCCTTTCCCCCCTTTGGCCCACTACATGCTTGACCCCCTCTACGGGCCACGGGCCCCCCCTCCAGAAGCTCGTGTGCAGCGCGCACAACGGCGGCCAGAGCAGTCCAGCAGCGTCGACGGCGCCCCAAGATTGCTTCAAGACGGCACAAGAGGCACCCAATCCGCCCCGAGAGACCTGCAAGATTCTCCCCGAGAGGGCCCCAGGAGTCCAAAATTGCCGCGTTCTCTTAGGGAAAACGTTCATTTCCAGCATATTCGCTTCGGGGGTCTAAGCAGCATCCAGACGGCCCAAGAGGCCCCAAAGATCGCCCCAAGACGGCCCAAGAGGCCCCCAAGAAGGCCCCAGGACGGCCCAAGAGAGCCCCAACACGGTTCAAGAGGCGCCCAAGATTTCAAGAGGGGTCCAAGAGGGGGAATTCCAATTGAGAGGGGTCCAAGAGGGGGGCCGCTTTGCTCCCGTCGTTCAGAATGGCGGTCTCGCCCCAGCGCGGGCCACTTTTCTGGATCCGAGTCTTGCTTCATTGTGATCCCCCCTCGTTTCCCCTCCTCTGCTTTCCCCTGCCCTCCTGCTTCTCCCGCTCCTTTCACTCCAGTTCCGGTTGCTGCTGTTCGTCTCGCCCCAGGGTGCGCAGCTTTCTGAACCCGAGTCTCTTTTCATCGTTGTCGCCCCGCCCCCCTCAAATCCCATTCTCAGACTTCCCTTGGTCCTCCTTTTCCTCCCAATCCGTCCTCTTCAGTTCCTGCTGCTGTTGTTTCTCCTCCTCCTCATCATCATCCTCCTCC